CAACTTCTGAGGGGATTAAGTGTTTAAGAATGACAATACATGTCAATTTTATTGTTTACAGTCCTTAGCAACCAAAATTAGACATTTTGACACAAGGCTTATAATTGTACTCTATTTGCTAAACCCTTGCTTCTGAAGGATTGCACAGTATGTAGTAGCCTAAGTATTGAATGTTTTGTATTTTTTCTTGCGAATATATCAATTCATTATTTTTATCAAGATTTCATGTTACATTTTGACATATATTAAATGTATAGTTGATTCAGCTGTAAGAAATTGATTCCCCATTACCAAGTTTTTTAATCAAGTCTTTGGTATACATTAAACATAAAGATTAACATTTTCATGCTTGAAATTGTTAAATTTTGTACAATTTTGCATCATCAGAGGTCTTATAAAGATTTTCAACATTAAAAAACTGACAAAAGAGGTATAGTTTTTAACATTTTGCCAAAAATTGATGTCGAAACAATATTTTACACTTTGACTTGGCACCTTTCTTTAAATCAGTTTTTGTCGCGTTTCAGTGTCAACTGCTAACCTTCATAAAATATTCATTACTCAACCAATTTTCAAAAATAAAAGGCCATTTTATTTCTTTTAGCTAGCAGAACACAGAAAATTAGTTAAAAGGGAGAATTTGAAAAAAATATTTACTATTAAGGTTGCAATACACAGTTAGGAGTTTGGTTTCGCATTTTGGCCCCGGTGGATTTTTCAAATATGAAAGTTATTGTGTAATAAAATTCATTTTTAGACAGCTGAGTACTAATTTAGCCTTCAAAGGTGGTTTATAAGAACATCAAGATTATTTTTTACATGTTTTATGGGCTATTTTCTGTTTGACTCTCCGTATTTTCATAGCTAGACCGGTCATCGGTCCAGAAATTAATGTAATGTTTACAAACACTTTTTTTCTACACGAAGTTTTTGACGCAATTTTACAAAAAAATGAGACGAAAGACATATGATTTTCATTGGATTAATTGAAAGATATATGTAAACAGTTTCAGAAAAGGTATTACTTGAAGTGATTGAAATTCTACTTTTGGCCAAATTTTGGGGAAATATGTGATATCTTTTCCCCCCTTTTTGCTATATTTTATAACAAAAAATTGCAGATTGTTGCCATGGATACACCAAAAAGAAATTTTATTTTACCATTTTATATACTGGATATGAAATCTATGGAAGATTCTGATTACATACATATGCACATTTATGACACAAACAGTAAGCTTAATATTGCAAGAAGGCAATGAAAAGGGGATGGTAAAATTTATGAGGGGAAATTTTAATATTTTTTCCTAACTGTTTATTGCTACCTTATGGCATATTTACCAAGCTCAGAATTGTATAATTTAAGACTTTTCATACCACAAATATATTGATATTTAGATTCTAAATCAACTTCTGAGGGGATTAAGTGTTTAAGAATGACAATACATGTCAATTTTATTGTTTACAGTCCTTAGCAACCAAAATTAGACATTTTGACACAAGGCTTATAATTGTACTCTATTTGCTAAACCCTTGCTTCTGAAGGATTGCACAGTATGTAGTAGCCTAAGTATTGAATGTTTTGTATTTTTTCTTGCGAATATATCAATTCATTATTTTTATCAAGATTTCATGTTACATTTTGACATATATTAAATGTATAGTTGATTCAGCTGTAAGAAATTGATTCCCCATTACCAAGTTTTTTAATCAAGTCTTTGGTATACATTAAACATAAAGATTAACATTTTCATGCTTGAAATTGTTAAATTTTGTACAATTTTGCATCATCAGAGGTCTTATAAAGATTTTCAACATTAAAAAACTGACAAAAGAGGTATAGTTTTTAACATTTTGCCAAAAATTGATGTCGAAACAATATTTTACACTTTGACTTGGCACCTTTCTTTAAATCAGTTTTTGTCGCGTTTCAGTGTCAACTGCTAACCTTCATAAAATATTCATTACTCAACCAATTTTCAAAAATAAAAGGCCATTTTACTTCTTTTAGCTAGCAGAACACAGAAAATTAGTTAAAAGGGAGAATTTGAAAAAAATATTTACTATTAAGGTTGCAATACACAGTTAGGAGTTTGGTTTCGCATTTTGGCCCCGGTGGATTTTTCAAATATGAAAGTTATTGTGTAATAAAATTCATTTTTAGACAGCTGAGTACTAATTTAGCCTTCAAAGGTGGTTTATAAGAACATCAAGATTATTTTTTACATGTTTTATGGGCTATTTTCTGTTTGACTCTCCGTATTTTCATAGCTAGACCGGTCATCGGTCCAGAAATTAATGTAATGTTTACAAACACTTTTTTTCTACACGAAGTTTTTGACGCAATTTTACAAAAAAATGAGACGAAAGACATATGATTTTCATTGGATTAATTGAAAGATATATGTAAACAGTTTCAGAAAAGGTATAACTTGAAGTGATTGAAATTCTACTTTTGGCCAAATTTTGGGGAAATATGTGATATCTTTTCCCCCCTTTTTGCTATATTTTATAACAAAAAATTGCAGATTGTTGCCATGGATACACCAAAAAGAAATTTTATTTTACCATTTTATATACTGGATATGAAATCTATGGAAGATTCTGATTACATACATATACACATATATGACACAAACAGTAAGCTTAATATTGCAAGAAGGCAATGAAAAGGGGATGGTAAAATTTATGAGGGGAAATTTTAATATTTTTTCCTAACTGTTTATTGCTACCTTATGGCATATTTACCAAGCTCAGAATTGTATAATTTAAGACTTTTCATACCACAAATATATTGATATTTAGATTCTAAATCAACTTCTGAGGGGATTAAGTGTTTAAGAATGACAATACATGTCAATTTTATTGTTTACAGTCCTTAGCAACCAAAATTAGACATTTTGACACAAGGCTTATAATTGTACTCTATTTGCTAAACCCTTGCTTCTGAAGGATTGCACAGTATGTAGTAGCCTAAGTATTGAATGTTTTGTATTTTTTCTTGCGAATATATCAATTCATTATTTTTATCAAGATTTCATGTTACATTTTGACATATATTAAATGTATAGTTGATTCAGCTGTAAGAAATTGATTCCCCATTACCAAGTTTTTTAATCAAGTCTTTGGTATACATTAAACATAAAGATTAACATTTTCATGCTTGAAATTGTTAAATTTTGTACAATTTTGCATCATCAGAGGTCTTATAAAGATTTTCAACATTAAAAAACTGACAAAAGAGGTATAGTTTTTAACATTTTGCCAAAAATTGATGTCGAAACAATATTTTACACTTTGACTTGGCACCTTTCTTTAAATCAGTTTTTGTCGCGTTTCAGTGTCAACTGCTAACCTTCATAAAATATTCATTACTCAACCAATTTTCAAAAATAAAAGGCCATTTTACTTCTTTTAGCTAGCAGAACACAGAAAATTAGTTAAAAGGGAGAATTTGAAAAAAATATTTACTATTAAGGTTGCAATACACAGTTAGGAGTTTGGTTTCGCATTTTGGCCCCGGTGGATTTTTCAAATATGAAAGTTATTGTGTAATAAAATTCATTTTTAGACAGCTGAGTACTAATTTAGCCTTCAAAGGTGGTTTATAAGAACATCAAGATTATTTTTTACATGTTTTATGGGCTATTTTCTGTTTGACTCTCCGTATTTTCATAGCTAGACCGGTCATCGGTCCAGAAATTAATGTAATGTTTACAAACACTTTTTTTCTACACGAAGTTTTTGACGCAATTTTACAAAAAAATGAGACGAAAGACATATGATTTTCATTGGATTAATTGAAAGATATATGTAAACAGTTTCAGAAAAGGTATTACTTGAAGTGATTGAAATTCTACTTTTGGCCAAATTTTGGGGAAATATGTGATATCTTTTCCCCCCTTTTTGCTATATTTTATAACAAAAAATTGCAGATTGTTGCCATGGATACACCAAAAAGAAATTTTATTTTACCATTTTATATACTGGATATGAAATCTATGGAAGATTCTGATTACATACATATGCACATATATGACACAAACAGTAAGCTTAATATTGCAAGAAGGCAATGAAAAGGGGATGGTAAAATTTATGAGGGGAAATTTTAATATTTTTTCCTAACTGTTTATTGCTACCTTAGACTTATTACCGGGTTTGTACTAACATGAGCGACACGACGGGTGCCACATGTGGAGCAGGATCTGATTACCCTTCTGGAGCACCTGAGATCACCCCAGTTTTTGATGGGTTTCGTGTTGCTTCGTCTTTAGTTTTCTATGTTGTGTTTTGTGTACTGTTGTTTGTCTATTTGTCTTTTCCTATTTTAGCCATGGCGTTGTCAGTTTATTTTCGACTTATGAGTTTGAATGTCCCTTTGGTATCTTTCGCCTCTCTTTTTTAATAAGATTAAAACAATAAATCGAGTATTCGTCGTGGAATTGGAATTTCTCGCCGTCAAGCCTTAAAGGCTGAATATTTGGAATATCATTGCATGCATGATTCAAAGAAGCATTAATGTGGCCCGAATAGTCTATTTAACCGTGTAACTACTGTATTGAGAATATATATAGTACTTTCGTTGTTTAATAATAAAGATTTGCGCCAATATCATTTATGTAAATAAGAAATAAGAGATAAAAAAAAAGTTTGTACACCACAAGTAAGTTGTCTTAAATGTCATATGAGTCAAAGACCCTTGTGTCAAAATTTATGAGAACTTGCAGTCAAGACTAGCTGAATCCGCTGTTACTGTACCGTATTTCAAGTCCTCATTTGTAATTAGATATCATCATAAATGTGATTTATAAAATAGCTGACATATTACGTGCTAATCTTTCCAAGTCATAAAGATCAAAGTATTGCTTCAACCTTGAAACATTTCACTTTCACATATCTTGTAACATTTTATGAAACCATCGTTATTTCCCCATTAGTTTCCGTAAAGATCGACGTTGCCGCTCCGTTAATAGGTGCAGCGTTTAGACCTCTTTCCCAGGGGAAATAATCGTGAATTATTGATTAAGATGTTGATGAGGAGATAATGATGATGAGCTTGAAATAATTAGTTATTTACATGTTAATTATCATACAAATATCAAAGGATATATCAGCAAATGGTGTAATTGTGTTTCTTTTGGGTAAGAATGCAAAAATTTAACGTATTTTATCAACAGCGGACACACATTTGATAAAGAAGATCCTTGTCCCATTTGTTAATTTGTGGGGAAACCAGATACGTTTATCACTATACTGACCTAGTTTTGTTTACCCATCAAAATGAGCAGCTTCTATACATGTTGGTTATAATATTTAGTTTTATGCAGGTAATTAAAATTAGTGATTAATTAATTAATGATTCAACTGCTACACATGTTGGGAATAATCAGTACTTGGTAGATTATATGTTTGTTACTCAATTCACCTATAATCCACCATTTGACATATACTGAGGTAGATGTTAGGTAGTAATTCAATAATTCAAACTAAAATTCACAATTTTTTTCATATAGCATCATTTACCATCTCAATCTTTGATGAGTACTCAGTGATAACATGTTATAATTTATATAAATGCTGACAACTCATGCTGCCCTTTTTTTTTAAAAGAAAAAAAAGACATTACCCTTCTTTTCCCACCTACAATAATGTATAAATTCAGAGTTTCAGGTTTTATGGTTCATCAGAAGGAATTGGAAAAATGGTCGTGTTTATGTACAGTGCCAGTGGTCTGATTCTGCCAGTGTACTTTATCCAAAGGATGAAAATTCCTAATGTTTTATATCCACCAACAAAAATGCACTAGGTTTTTTAATCCAGGTTTAGTGTTAAATATCCAAAACTCCCCATAAGATTCTGAAGAGGGTTTTCTTGAATATGTCAGGGGTTTAAATTAGCAGTGGTCCAAGGTCCAGGACCTATCAGATTTACAGTTGGACTTACGATTTGGTTATTAGCTGCACCTGACGGACTTTCAATTTTCAAGTTTCAGAAAACATATATGATGAATTTCTGTTCTGACTTGTAAATTGATATGGTAATGAGTCACGATGAATTAGCTACAATTTATTTTTAACTTAGTGATCTACATGTACTTCCTGGTTCATTAATAGTGCAGCGTGTCAGATGAGGTTGAGGTCCGCGTTCTTCATATTAACGCATGTGGTTGTCAACTTTGTTAAACCATGAGTTTGTTTCGCTTTGGCTTCACGTCATCTAAGAGAAAAATGTGCAAGGCAGATGAAATTCTGACTACTAAGAGTGTAGCTGCAATGTAAACAAAAGAAGTCAGACAAAGAAGTGATCAAAGTTTAAACAAGGATAAAAGATATGATCGCGAGAAACGTGAGTGAAAATTCCAGTCTCATTTGCAGAAAAGTATCAGGTCGTTCCGGCCCCAAACCGATCCGGCCCCATAATAAAATAATGAATAATATTTTAAATCGATACGAAAATAAGTATGATTGGAATGTTTTTAAGCACATTCAGCATATAATTATGAAGTTATTTTCCATATTAATTAGAATATCATGGGATATCAATTGCCCTTGGCTCCAATTTGGAGAAGATTCCGGAACCATGACCTGTAAATATTGTATATAATACCCAACCCACACTGATAGGCAAAGTGCTTCAGTGAGAGGGACACAAAATCTTAAAATTGATTCAATCAAAAGTCAATGTTTGGACCTTTCATCCTAAGGTGTAAACCTTCCACTTTACTATTGTAAAGGTCCAGGACTTTTCAGTGAAAAATGTTAATTTGAACTCCTGCATGTTGAAGGGGAAATATATGAATGAAATGATTGAATGTGGTATGCCAGTATTATTAGAACCCTTATCAAAACTTTTCAACTTTGTATTTATGAAAGGCAGCTTCCCAAAATTATGGAATAAAAGTCTGATCACATTAATTCATAAAAAGGGGAACAAATCTGACCCCTCTAATTATAGAGGTACATTTGTATCTCATTGACTTCTAATTTGGGTAAATTATTCAATAAACATGATAAAATTATACACACCAGACTTATGAAGTTTATAAACACCAATTATTTAATAAGGGAAAAATAAATTGGCTTCAAAGAAAAAGCTAGAACAGCAGATCACATCTTCTCATTAAAGTCAATTGTTGATAAATATAAGACAAAAAAAAAACAGTTTTTGCAGCATTTATAGATCTACGAAAAGCCTTTGATACTGTCTGGAGGGAGGGTTTATTTTACATCCTACTCCAAAACAGACTTCCAGGCAAGCTTGTTAATGTCATTCAATCAATGTATAATGAAAACAAATGTAGAATTAAATTTAAAAAATGGTATTAGCCATGAATTTATATCAACTTGTGGAGTAAAACAAGGGGATGTACTTAGCCCAATTTTGTTTACTGTGGATTCATTATTATTCGTTGGATACCAATTTTCGTGGATTTCGTGGGTACAAGTGAACCACGAAATTAAATGTTCAACGAATGACATATTTTGTATAGGCTTGTACGCAGACTTTCGGTAAAACCATGAAATTAAATATCTTGAACATGCAATTTTTCCCTAATCCACGAAAATTGGTACCCACGAAAATAAATGAATCCACAGTAATATCTAAATAAATGGCCTTGTAAATGACCTTGATCATGCAAACACTCAGCCAATTGTTATAGAAGATGTTAAACTAACATCATTATTATATGCAGATGACATTATTTTATTATCAGAAACCCAAGAAGGGCTTCAAAATGCACCTAATGAGTTAACTAAATTTTGTTCCCTTTGGAAACTTGATGTAAACAAACAAAAATCAAAAATAATAATATTCAATTCTAATGGGAAATCACATTGTAATTATTTTAAAGTAGAAAACGAGCATCTTGAGACCGTTAAATTTTATTGTTACCTTGGAATAACAATTAATTATTCAGGCAATTTAAGTCCTTCCAAAAATTTCTTATGGAAAAAGGAAGAAAGACTTGGTTTAATATTAAAAAGACAGTATCTTTAGATAATTCTTGCAATATGCTTGAAAAATTATTTGATACTTCAGTTGTCCCAATCATTCTTTATGGGAGTGAAATATGGGGTGTCAGCAAAGTGTTCAAAGATTCAGATCCATTTGAACATTTACATATAAAATTTATTAAGGAAATTTTAGGGGTACATTGCAAAGTAAATGAGTTAACATTGTAAAAGACTGGTTAAATAAATTAGGTTTTGGCCATCTTACTTTTGACCCCATTAATTTAAAATATTATATAAATACTATCCAACAAAGAATCTTTGACCAGGCTTATCAAATTATGAACTGTTCTATCCGTAAGTGTGAAAAATTAAATTTCTTTTGTAAGACTCGAATTGGAGAAAGGCCCCCGTATATTGATATATGTAAATTTAAACTCAGTGCCCATTCCATAGCAATTGAAAGGGGGCGTTATACCAACATTGAAAGAAATCAACGCATTTGCCTATCCTGTAATAGGCAAGAAATTGAGGATGAATACCATTTTTTCTCAGTCTGTCCATGGTATATCATTGAGGGATACCTATATACAAAAAATTAATACTAATCTTAATTTCAATTTTATTGTCGAGCCTGCGACTTTTGTCGCAGAAAGCTCGACATAGGGATAGTGATCCGGCGGCTACGGCGGCGGCGGCGTTAGCTAACTTCTTAAAAGCTTTATATTTTAGAGGGTGGAAGACCTGGATGCTTCATACTTTGTATATGGATGCCTCATGTTACGAAGTTTCCGTCAGTCACATGTCCAATGTCCTTGACCTCATTTTCATGGTTCAGTGACTACTTGAAAAAAAAGTTAAGATTTTTTGTAATGTTAAATTCTCTCTTATTATAAGTAATAGGATAACTATATTTGGTATGTGCGTACCTTGCAAGGTCCTCATGCCCGTCAGACAGTTTTCACTTGACCTCGACCTCATTTCATGGATCAGTGAACAAGGTTAAGTTTTCGTGGTCAAGTCCATATCTCAGATACTATAAGCAATAGGTCTAGTATATTCGGTGTATGGAAGGACTGTAAGGTGTACATGTCCAACTGGCAGGTGTCATCTGACCTTGACCTCATTTTCATGGTTCAGTGGTTATAGTTAAGTTTTTGTGTTTTGGTCTGTTTTTCTTATACTGTATGCAATAGGTCTACTATATTTGGTGTATGGAAGGATTGTAAGGTGTATGTATAGCTGGCAGGTGTCATCTGACCTTGACCTCATTTTCATGGTTCATTGGTTATAGTTGAGTTTTTGTGTTTTGGTCTGTTTTTCTTATACTGTATGCAATAGGTCTACAATATTTGATGTATGGAATGATTGTAAGGTGTACATGTCTAGCGGGCAGGTGTCATCTGACCTTGACCTCATTTTCATGGTTCAGTGGTCAAAGTTAAGTTTTTGAGTTTTGGTCTTTTTTTCTAATACTGCATGCAATAGGTCTACTATATTTGGTGTATGGAATGATTGTAAGGTGTACATGTCTAGCTGGCAGGTGTCATCTGACCTTGACCTTATTTTCATGGTTCAGTGGTCAAAGTTAAGTTTTTGAGATTTCATCCTTTTTCTAATACTATATGCAATAGTTCAACTACATTTGGTATATGGAAATATTTTATGATCTATATGTCAGTCACGCAGGTTTTTTTTTACCTTGACCTCATTTTCAAGGTTCATTGCTCAGTGTTAAGTTTTTGTGTTTTGGTCTGTTTTTCTTAAACTATAAGCAAAAGGTCAACCATATTTGTTGTATGGAAGAATTGTTAGCTGTACATGCCTGCCTAGCATGGTTCATCTGACCTTGACCTCATTTTCATGGTTCATTGGTCAATGTTTAGTTTACTTGGTTAATGTTAAGTTTATGTGACAGTTGTAATAAAGCTTTATATTTAGGACTATCAACATAATATCAATGATTAGTAAAGAAGGCGAGACATTTCAGCGTGTGCACTCTTGTTAAAATGCATTCAGCTATAACACTGAGGCATATGACCACACTTTTAAATCGCAGTTTGCCTGTCATTATAAAAATCACCACAAAGTATATTAATGATTGTCCTTTATCATTGTTTATTGAGGACATCTGTATAATTTTTATTTTTTGATAGATATCCTTTTTTGTTCATGGACATTAATAATTGGTTAACTGTCAATACACACGTATTTGTAGTCTTTTTTTCGTGTGAATACCACTGTCACTCTAATCTAATTTAATTATTGTCAGTTTATTGTCTCAATACTGTATGCCATAACCATTTAATGTAAATGTGTTTGTGCAAATAAATATTGTCTATATTAACAATGGGGCTTGGTATTTTTTGGGGGTTTTTGAAGTACCTTAAACTTGCATAGGTGATTTATGTAAAAGATGGACTCAAAATACTATTGTTATTTATCCAAGGAATGTTTGATTCCACCAGTGTACTTTATCCGAAGGATGAAAATTCCTAGTGTTTCATATCCACCAACAAAAAAGTTGGATTGATTCAGATGAATTATACTGGTTGTGGTGGTTCTCTGAAAATTATTCCCATTTTAACCAATTAATTTATGTAAACAATATACCAGTCTACCATAAACATAAACAATGGTTTTCACACTTTTTACATACAATAGTCTCCAGTAAATAACAGTTGGCCGGAATAAACGCATGGTGGAATGAAAGAACGCTGACATTTACACCACAAAGTTTACTCTGTCAGTACAGTCTACAGACAAATCTTGCTGTGCAAACATGCAAATGGTTAAGTTGTAAGGATTGGCAGGAACTAGGCAATTCAACTTAAAATGCAATGCAGGATGTCATACATGTACATGTCATAAATAAGTACCCATCAAAGCTTGAGATGGTACATGTACAAAAATGTATGTGCCAAAAATCACAATCACAATGATTGATGACCACTGTCCACATGGTCCAGTCAGAAATGTCTGTTCTCTATTTACAGATTATGCTAAAGAATGGCATAAAACATCTACTGAAATTGCACATTTGGTAAAATTGAAAGATTTTCTGATACTTTTACCTCTAAAGGAAACTTACTGAAACCTAAAATATATGTTCATGATGTAAGTACATGAAACCATTGACACATGTAGCTAACATAACATACAAAGTTAGTTTAGATATATAATTTCATAATCAATATTTTAATGTTTTTCAGTGTTGTTACCATGGAGACAGAAGTACTGATTTTGGTAGCAGCACAGATAATTTCCTGTTTAGCTTTTCAAAAGTCAGGTAAGTTAATAACTCATTGTATTACACATTATAATAATACCTATATATATAAAAATTTGGAGATGTGGTATGATTGCCAATGAGACAACTATCCAGCAAAATTCAATTGAAGTTGAGACTGTGGATTCAATTATTTTCGTGAAATGTGGAAATATTGTACATGTACATGTGTTTTTCACAGATATTTTATTTCCTGGTATACCAAAATCAGCATACAACATGTACAAGCCTATAAAAATTAGTACCTCATTGAGCATTAAAATTTGTGATTTACATACATGTATATAACCTTGAAATCCAGGAAAATTGGTACTCTATGAATATTAATGAGTGCACAGTATACAAACTAAATGACTCAGTTTTGTCTGTTTGTATTTCTGACTTTTCAGAGGAGTCAGGTCTTGATGATTGGTGTGTTCTCTCTGTGATTCCTCAATTCCTGTATAATTTTTTTTATAAATTATGATAAATCTCACATATGGATCCAGCCATTTTTAAAAGGGGGGGTTCCAACCATATTTCGCCATTCAAAAGCATTGATATATATAGTAAAAAAATAAGGGGGGTGCAACCCATGGAACCCCCCCTGGATCTACCACTGAATCTTTTGTCATAAATAATTCTATAGTTTACACATTTTTTAGAACAAAATTCATAAATGAATAGTCATTTCTTAGTTTTTGGGTTCTTTTGAATTTTTCAAAAAGTGTTATGACTCACAAGATTTATGAGAAAAGAGTTGCAGGATAATATCAAATCAACATGATCAAGAAGAAAGCACATATCCAATGAATTGATAGGACATATTTTTTCTCATAATCGTCAGTTATTCATTCAGCAATGGTCATTAATTTTTCTAGAATTTTGATTCCTTGCCCCTAATAGAAGGGGTAATAATGATGTGGACACATATATTCTTGGTTCATGCTACCTATACCTTGACAGTCCGTCTTTCGGCCCTTTTTTTCAGTCTCCCATTTTCATTGCAAAGCTTGAATGGGGGCATTCATGTCCTCAGACACTTTCTTCTTTTATTCTTCACTAAACTAAGTCATTTAACATATTAAAGCACCAAAAAAAATTTGTATTATTGTATTATTTTCAGTTGTAATCAATGAACCATGCAATGAAGACCAACAATACTCCTTAGGGCTGAATGATCAGCTTTACATCACTGTCAATGGTGATAAATTTTTTGAGAAGGCTTGTGGAATCAGTCTGATTGCCAATGATGACAAATTTCAGTGCTCCAATCTCTGTATCTCCATTGCTAGCTACCATATACAGACATGTGATCTACGGCTTGCTATCTACGATACTGGAGTATGGAAGTTTGGGTCTGCTAGTCCTGCTGTTGTAAGTATATTTAACTGAAATTTTATGTGAATCACATTGATGCAGTAAATGTACACACAAGGTTATTCAATTAATAATCAGATGCAGTTACAGGTTTTTTTTAGAAAGAAGGGCAACAACAAATATTGCCTTTAGGGAGGCATTAAAAAAATCAGAATCTTGAGTAAAACCTTGGTTTTTGGTGAGAATCAAATTACTTAATCTTTAGTTCTTTCTGTAATATTTTTTGTACTATTATTTTTTTTTCTTTTTGCCTCTTTTCCTTTGATGATTGTGTTTGTTTATTTTTCTTTGACTGAAGTTATTTATTTTCCCTTTCGTATCTTCTCCCCTATCTTTGGACGGTACATGTAAAGTCAAAATAAGCTCACTTCTGATAAATTGTTAGTTACATTCATGAGCAAGAGGAAGCCTAAGTTTTCCTCAAGAAGTATAAGGGATATCTGATTTTCATAGAAGGTAATTACATGAAACTGGTCATGCTGGTTGTTCATTAATTTCATTCTTTTCTGATATAAATGTTAGAGAAATGAAATAAGTTACAAATGAAACTAAAAGATGATTTGTCTCTTAATTAAGGACATAATATCATAAATATCTATCCTAATGATCTATTCTGTCTTTAGGGCTGTTCCAGAATGAAACACATGTTGGGCATGTGAGGCACATATTTCAGGACTCTGATGACCACCCATAAAAAAAAAATTTCCTTTTTACTTCTGATTCTTACAAAATTCTTAGGAAAATGCAACCCCATATTTAATTAATTTGAGTGCCTCGAGCTCCCATCCCAAGTTCGCACCCAATAAATTTTGAAACAGCTCTTAGACAGTTCATTTATATTTTATATTGTGCATGTATATATTTAATGTAAAACACTTATCTCTATCTTACAGTTGGGACAGTGTAACAACCAGTTGACTAGGAAGGACTGGTGTTCTACTGGTAACCAGGCCAACATTAGACTAGAGAATACAGTTGGCACATGGGCAACAATGGTGGGAAAATATGACTTTGAAATTATAGTTGTCTCAAGGTGCTCCACAACACAAACTGCTGCTGTCCCATACAAAGGTATGTAGTTATGGTGTTTCTGGAGTTATTTGGAATGGTCTCATGAAATTTTTTATTGAGATATTTTTTTCAATTGATATTCTGGGACACCGAAAGATCTGATTGATTGATGAATACTTATCACCAAACAGCAATATAAATGTATATTAAGGTTAATAGATTGTTTATGTCATATGGATATATCCTGTTTTGTATTAGATTTTGTACTACACTTATATATTCTGGATTTTAACATGGCAACTAACAAGATTACATGCTTGAAGATAAGATTGAAGCCTTATTGGGACAACCCGTTCTGTCTCCAAGGTAGACAATTTTTTCTACCAGTCTATGCTCATCATCATATTTATGAAATATGTTTTAATAATTTAATTATTTTCAATAAAAGGAAGAGAAAAATAGGGCCATCAACAACAAAGTGTTGAATAAAGACAGACAATACCATGTTAGAAGAACGCTGAAAAAACTTTCAACAGTCCAAAAATACACTACACAGAAAAATAAAAGAATTGTGAAAGATACCAATGGGATATTCAAACTCATAGGCGGAAAAACAAACTGACAATGGCAAAGCAAAACATGAAAAACAACCAAAAGACAAACAACAGTTTACAAAACACAATGTAGAAAACTAAAGACTGAGCAAATAAACCTGGACAAAACCAGTGGTATGGACTAGAACACATGATTCTAATGGAATCTATTTTAGGTTGTTTGCTTTGCAGTTTCAGAAAAAGAATCCAGCGGTTCATTGATACTAAAAGGAGCTGTCTTAAGTTATTTTTTTCAGTTTCAGAAAAAGAATCCAGCGGTCCCGACCAGAACACATTGATTCTAATAGGAGCTATCTTGAGTTGTGTGATTATCTGTATGGGAATGTTTATCATGTTCCTGGTCTGGTACATCAAAAGGCAGGCTATTCTCTCTCACCAAAGTGCCAACAGCCTACCAAGGAGTATCTCACAAGGTAAGAGAACTAGGCAGGCGAGTATGTCTCAAGGTATGATAAGAATTAGAGATTATCTCACAAGGTAAGGATATTAGGCAGACGAGTATGTCTCAAGGTATGATAAGAATTAGAGATTATCTCACAAGGTAAGGATATTAGTCAGACGAGTATGTCTCAAGGTATGATAAGAATTAGAGATTATCTCACAAGGTAAGGATATTAGTCAGATGAGTATGTCTCGATGTATTATAAAAATTAGAGATTATTTCACAAGGTAAGAGGACCAGTCAGACGAGTATGTCTTAATATAAGGTATAATAAGAATTAGAGATTATCTCACAAGGTAAGGATATTAGGCAGACGAGTATGTCTCAAGGTATGATAAGAATTAGAGATTATCTCACAAGGTAATTATAAGGATATTAGGCAGACGAGTATGTCTCAAGGTATGATAAGAATTAGAGATTATCTCACAAGGTAAGGATACTGTTCGGACGTGTCTCAAGGTATGATAAGAATTAGAGATTATCTCACAAGGTAAGGATACTATTGAGGCGAGTATGTCTCAAGGTATGATAAGAATTAGAGATTATCTGACAAGGTAAGGATACTATTCAGACGATTATGTCTCAAGGTATGATATGAATTAGAGATGTATTTCACAAGTTTAGGATACTAGTGGGACGAGTATGTCTCAAGGTATGATATTAATTAGTGATGTATCTCACAAGGTAAGGAAATCAATGGTTATATTGTATGAAAATTATTTTGATACATATTGCAGTATTTGAGGAGAACTTTGATACATACTGTAAATTCAGAAAGTATTGCAATGTTTTTATTATTGCGAAAAATGCGACAGGGTTATAATGGCAATAATTTAAACTCACATTTTGAAATTTTTTATACAAATTAAACAGGATTTTTCTCAATATTGCAAAAATTTAAATCGCATATTAGTTTAAAATGACAAAATCGCAATAATAAATGCCTGTAATAAATTCTGAATTTACAGTACTTGAAAAACAAGGGTATAAAATGTGAAAAAATGTTATTACTGAATATACCGTTTTGATATGTATATCATTGATATTCAGTGCATGGTTAAGGGGTAGGGTTGTTTCCTTTTTTAAATGAGAAAGAAAATTTGGGAGAAAGAAGTGATATTGATTTTTTTTTTTTATATCTGTTTTTATTTGCCCGTTTACGGGAAGTAATATGGTATACTGTTGTCAGTCCATTGTCAACATGTCAGACAATCAATCAAAAACGCTTGAACCAATTTTCATGAAACTTTGGTGAATTGTTTATATCTATTGACGTAAGCTCCCTTTCAATTTTTATAAATTTCAGATTCTACGTTTCCGAGTTATGGGATTTTATTCATAAAAAATAGAGGATTTTCTAGTTTTTGGACAATAACTCAAAAGTCCTTTGAGCAGTTTTCATGAAAGTTTGGTGACTGGTCAATATCTATTAAAATAACCTCCTTGTAGTTTTTTTTATAAATTTCTGATATGATATTGAGGAGTTATGGAACTTTATTCATTGATGGCGTAGCTCTATATTCACAATGCATTGATATAAGCAATAAACCAGTAGTATATTATTATATTACCTGCAGAAAGAATTATCAAATTGCTTTTAAGAATGATATTATACAGGAAAAATTCCTATTAAAAGTTCTAACAATGTGCACAATGCTTAACTCCAGAAAATCCCAGGAATATGCCTTATGTTACAAAAATCAAGATCAAAAGTTATATCAGTAGAAATTGCCTTCCTTTTTTATAAACGACAGGCAAAAGGTACCAAAGGGATATTCAAACTCATAAGTCGAAAACTAACTGAAGATGTCATGGAAAAAAACGAGAAAAATACATTTTTTGTAACCAAAATAGAAAACTACAATTTATAGTTGGGAATTTTAATCAATTGTCAGCAAATAATAACTAAGTGAGGAAAAGTATAATATATTTACTGTCAAGGATCCTAGAGATAATAAATTGTCCAAATATTGATCTACCAAGTATTTAATGATAATATATGCAATTGAAAGTTCGGTTCAGATCAATACAGGTAAAGCATAGAAAAAAAAAAAGAGTTAAATTGTGTAATTTGCTATTATATCGATGAGTGTCTCATATTGACATTTGAAAATTAGCATGCTCTTGGAATGACTTTTAGATTGCTAATATAATTCTTCTAAATGCACTGTTATCAATACCTTATTACAATGCAATTCGTTTTGTATCCAAGGGTCTGATTTTTTAAAATCAATCTACCTGTCTGACCCAAGAGTCTTTGTCCTAATGATTTCTACTTTCACTTTCTGCATGAAGTGTTGTCCAGGAAACCTGTGATGTTCATGTGCCCTCAGCTTTGTCTTAATTATGTGTATTTTCACTTTCAACAGGAAGTGAGTACTGTATATCATGCTGTCCAGGAAAACATGTGATGGTCATGTGCCCTCTGCTTTGTCTTAATTATGTCTACTTTCACTTTCGACAGGAAGTGCGGTTTATCATGCTGTCAAGGAAACTTATGATGGCTTTGTCTTAATTATGTCTACTTTCACTTTGACAGGAAGTGCTGTTTATCATGCTGTCCAGGAAACATGTGATGGTCATGTGCCATCAGAACCTATTCAAGTTACAGACAAAATGTTGACAGATGAAGATCCCAGTCACCGTGTCTGGAATCAGCCCCAGCCCACAGCGCCACCTGTTGAAGAAGATTGTAGCAAAGAAAGACCTCCTAGCTATCACGAAACTTGTATTCCGCCCAATTATGAAAACACTAGCCCACAAAATAGAGGTCGGGAAATAGTCTGATCACTTGCCCAAACTGTAGAGGTTGGGAAATTTTGAATGTTTTATAAATAACAAATTGTTTCAATATTATTATTACAATTATTTCACATCAGACTGACTGAAGTTGTTGAAACAAAGTTGGATGTACAAACTTTGTAAAATGATGAATATTTGATTCTATCCCATTCAATTTTTTATTGACATATGGCGATATGAATAATTCAGAACATAAAATGACAAATTGTACTTTTACAATTAGCTTGAATGAACAATATATGCAGTCTGCTTTCACTCATATACATAGATGTATTTTTTACATGTAAATGCTTTAGGAATTTAATAAATAATTAATACATGTGCATTGTAATGTATCAAATATATTTTATCAAATACTCTTAATGTACAGTCATTTTATTGGAGTGTTATGGCAATTTTGATCAACCAGAATACAGATATGTGTTCTTGAGGTCAATTTGTTGGTTTTTAGTGTCAACCATTCTTAGATACAGATGCTATAAATAACGTTAAGCACTTTGCACTTGTTAACCAATAATTCCATTTTCAGAAAACATTAAACCAGTGTTGTAATTTTTCTCCTACAATTTGAGACCACTTTAAAGATAAGATTAAGAAATAATTCATGCAAGCCATAGATTTGTTGGAAATTTTCCCATGGTCTGGGCCATTATATTCAAATTTTATCCAGAGTGTCAGAAGTGATAGAAGTAGGATTGTCTTATTCCTTTACACCAACAAATTTTGAAAGCAGTTTTACTTTAAAACTTTTTCATTCACAAATGATGTATCCTTTTTATAAAATTACAGTATAACGGTATGACATTATGTGGAGGAAAAAGTCTTAAAAGAATAATTTTGATATTTTTCTTGTCTGTTTAATTATGAATTGTTTTATGTCAATGTTGTAGGTTTTGTTTGATGCTTGTTATATTAATTGAAGAATCATACTAAAGGTCAATATTTGTTTTTGGTTGTTGATGTAAGTTGAGGATTTAAATCAGGTATTTACACTTCATCAGAACATTAATGTTTTTAATAGAATTGAGATCATAATTGTTGCCTGCTATAGTAGAAGATGCAGGAACACCTGAGTAAAATTATAGAATCATGATGGAAATTGTTGCCTGTCCTAGAAGAAGATGCAGGATCACCTTATAAAAATTATAAATGGTTGTGCAATGAAAACATTTTTTTTGTAAGATCTTTAAATCCTGTTTATACTTTCAAATTGATTTGCAATAACAAAAGAAATTTTCAGTTTTTAAAGAAAAAATTTCTCATAGTCAAAAAGCTGGCTGCATTAATGTTTTAATAGTCTTTTTTTGTATGACAAAGACATTAAAGTTACTTTGCTAAGTGTGTTTTTAGTAATTACAATGCGATTAAGTATCCCAATTTTATTTATCACCCTTGGTATGTGTTTAAAGCACCTGGGGTATGTAAAAAAAATGAACTATGGGCCCCATGTGTATAGATTTACAAATCAATAACACAATATGAATATTTTTTGCTTTCGTAAATATTTTTTTACTTTGAAAATTTATATTGTACAATAATCCTGCCAGTATGTATGTTGTAAGATGGGGTTGACAATTTGTAGCATTTGTGATGTTTTCACTTTGTGTTTTTAGGTTGATCTTTCATTATTTATAATTACTAAATAAATACCAGAGTTTTGCTAGACTATATAAGGGGATAGACCCAGGTCAAGGGACATTACTCTTAAAAAATCACTAGAACGTTGGTGTCAATCATTTTCAAAAATATGTTTGAAGCTTCTCAGAAACACAGATTGTTTGAATTCTGTTTGACAAGAATGTTTAAAAAACAATGATGATACTGAATCTTAAGGATGTAGTCATGTCAATTTTAGGAATTTTTGTTAGATGTGCGGACTCCTTGGATTTTTTCCAACGATACCGGGTAAAATATTTTGCCCCATTTCACCCACTTTTCTATTCATATAAGACTTCAATAGCTCATAAAAGGTAACCCAAATTTAAGCAGATTCTAGATTTCTTTTCTTACAACTTTAGACCCAAATAATGCCAATGCTAAGTATATGGTAAAAGTCCGAGTCAGCCTTTTCCCGCCATTTTTTTTTAATTTATTATCTCGAAATGGAGTTCCATAACCTTTCAATATTTGTTCAGCTTATTTTGTTCTTTAACTAATGCTCTTCTGATTTAAAGTATCAACTTTAAATTCCAAATTTTTTTAATTTCTCCTTAAAAACACATTACTGATTTAAAGTTTTATATCCTTCGACACAGATCTGTGCTATCTTTTGTCTGTGAAAGTAGTTGAAACTTTGATATGTTGTAGCTGTTTGTCTATATCAGCAAATGAAATTATCAAATATTGGGGATCCAACTAATACTTTTTTTTCAAAATGTTATAAACTTAACTTCTATTCTGAAAATTAGAAAGTATTGTATAAAATTCAATACAATTGATTTTAAGGTTTTGTTTTGCATAAGATGTTGTAAATTGTTACATTTTTTTAGAAGATTTGTAGAATTACTGAGTTATCTCCCATGTTTGATTTATTTTACATGCATTCTGTACAAATTTTCGAAATGAAGAAAAAACACAATTAAACAGTTGAATTTTTTAGCAGAAATTTATTTGTTACAATTTCTTAAATGAATGAAAATGTCTCAAAAGTTATCATGGTTCTTAAAGGTTGTAAATGTTCATCGTTATTGAAAAGTGCTTAATGGTCTATTTTGATTTTATAAATATTCATAACACTTTTATGTGTACTCATAGAAAAAGTCACTTTTAAAGTGAATATATGTAGATAATTACATTTGCATAATAGAAATTAAAATTATATGTTGAAATAATTGAGCAGAAATTTATTTGTAGATAAGTGTTGTGATAAATTGTGAGGTTAATATTTGTGGTGTGTTATACAATGTGCTTTAATTATATATCATGTTTTATGTCAAAGATTTACCTTTTATACAATATTAATCATTTTTTTGTTTTTCATACCTTGTCCATATCTGCAGGAATGTGTATTGTCTAGTAACTTTATTAACTAATATTAAAAAGGAAATTGTCAATCCAGTGCACACTATATAGGCTACTTATTGAAACATGATATTGTTTTTTTTTCTGTCAATATTATTAGTGGAATTTCAAAAAATCTGCATCATTCTTTAAAATATCTAATTATATATTTTTTTTTAATCCCATATGTTCAAATTAAACGCTGAAAAGGGTAGGATTAATAGAAGGTTTAGTTTTAATGGTCTTATACACCTAATTGCTATTTGTTCTTCATTACTGGATATCACAAAGGTTCCCGTAAAATTTTGACGTCACAATAGAAAATGTCTGACACCACAAAGGAAAAGTAATTGTTGTTTTAAATCAAAAGTTCAATTCTCAGGTCAAGTGTTGCAAATTCCCAAATAGCGATGAGGTCTATAAGTCTTTTATCGATAATGTTTAATATAAGTGCTGTTCCATTATTCAATTAAACTAAAAAGTTCATAAGGCAGGTTTTATTTTGAGAAGGGGGTCAAGGGTTATTTATAGGTGTTTCCCATTTGATGAATGCAGAATATCGAAAAAAAAGTATGAGAGATTTTGGAAGTTCCTTTCTACTCTTTCTACCATTGGACATGACATGAATATAAGAGTTCTTTCTAAATTTTATTTTTATTTGTCTTTATACTTATGTTTAACTTTAACATTTTAATATGTTAATGCCTCGTTTTTATTTGTTTCTATTTCAAGCTTTAATATTTTTTTTACATTTTTTTTTCTATTGTTGATTATGTATATATACATTTACACCAAGCATTTTAGTCTAGTCATTTATTTTAGAGGAAAGTTTATTCTCTTCACCATAACTACTTGAACTTAAGTTCTTCTGTTGTGACTTTATTGTGAGTAGATGTGGGAAAAATCTTGATAAAATGTTGAAGAAGTAGGAAGTTACTTAACTTCTCCAACTGGTTTGATTTATAAACAGATAATTGAGGGTCTTGATTTGGGGGTCTTCATTTCTGTATTCTTTTATTCTTTAGGCCTTTTTCTCTATTCCTTATTTTTTTGCCCATTATTCTCTGTTCTTTAAGTTTTAGCAACCCATTATTCTCTATTCTTTATATTTTTGGCCCATTATTCTCTATTCTTTCTATTTTAGAACCCCATTATTCTCTATTCTTTTTATTTTAGAACCCCATTATTCTCTGTTCTTTATATTTTTGCCTTTTATTTTCTATTTCATGCCAATTCTTTTCTATTTTATGCCCATGAATCTCCTTTCTGTAAATCCCATCCAGACCCCCATCATTTCTTCGTTGGTAAAAATACTCACACAGAACAAGTGTTTATGATTGGATAATTTATTACCATATAAATTTGCAAATAACTTCATTTTTTACATGAATAATTTTATATACAGTATAATTGGTTGTTTTCTCGTAGAATATTACTTATTGAGATATATTTTAAGCATTTAAATGATTGTTGTCGTAATTTGTAGGTTCATTAGATTCTTGCTGCACATGAACTTGATTTATGCTGCATTCAGATTATACGCATTTACACAGGCTAAATTAAAGTTAAATGACAAAGTTTGCAATTATAAGACATAAAATTTTCTGGCTTATGTACATTTTTGCAAGCACTGGCAGTCATGGACAAATTAAAATACTCACTGAGAGAAATTACAGCATAATTTTTTTTTTGCGTAATGTAATTTTTACAAATGTAAAATTGTCATTTTGAATACTTAATTTTCTAAATTTTAATTGGACTGTAATTAGTTGAAAAAAAAACAATTTAAAAGATTGGTTCTTGACTTAGTCTTATTGTCATGTGACCTGTACATCCAGTCATTAAGAAGACATAACCAATAGTTCTTACCCTAAACATTGGTGGCAGCATAATCAGTGCAAAAAAGTTTTAAAAAGTTTGAACATTGTCAAAGTGTTTTAAAGGGAATCTTCTACATATAAATGCAGCAAAAAATGAAATCCTCTTTTATGTATTATTTTCCATTATAGATTATTTGCCATTTGTTATTTGTGCTTATTGTTTTTTGTGACATATTGAAAACATTATTTTGCTCCAGCTTATTTAAGTATTTGGACCCTACGTGGGGCAAAGAGTTAGTGAAAATTAACCAAGAAATATTTCTAAAATGTGAACCATGCATGTTTGTTCTATATACAGATTGATACAGTACTGAAACTAACCATGTATAAAATTTGTATTATGTGAACAATACATGCACATTCTATATACTGATTGATACAGTACTGAAAATTAACCACATAGAAAATTTCTCTTATGTGAACCATACATGTACATTCTAAATAATGATATGAACATATTTACTTTTTTTCTTCCATATAAGATGGATTTGACATATCATGTTTTTATGCCAGTACGTCATCAGGTATTAGTGGTTTAAAGCTTTGATCAAGAAGAGTAACTATATTCTCTTCCTGTTTTGGCACTGAACATGATTAGTTTGCTAAATTGAATTGCACTAAATATCTGTAACGATGTTTTCACATTTTCGATATCAAGTGAATGAAACTTTTGAGTGGCTAAAATTTCAATATATGTAGAGAAGTTCATTTTCAAAGTTGGAGGATTTAAAAATTTCATAACATCTGTTTTTTAGAGGTATTATGTACAATTTATCCTTTTGAGTAATACTGGTTACACTTTTTGAGCATAACAAATCACTGTGATCAAAAGAAGTATAAAGGTTACACATACATAATAGATAGTTTCCCATTAATATCATTTTGATTCCGAGTTATTTCCATTTGTTACCGTGTGGGAGAGCAAACTGGTTGATTTCTTGTTTGACTACAGGTAAATGAATTTAAACAGATGAAACAAGAAAGTCTAGTAAAAGATCCTTACATGTACTAGATGAAGTTTTCTCCTTACTAGATGGGGTTCTTACTAGATGAGATTTTCTCCACACTAGATGGGGTTTTCTTAAAGTTAAGCAGCCATTATGACAAGTAGAACTTGATCCATTTATCAAGGTATTTGTGGATGTTTCAAAGGGAAATAGCTCTGAAATCAAATGAGGTCAATGGAAATCTATCTATTACAAAAAATCTGTTTGGTTTATTACTGTTTTCTTAATGCTTCCTCAACACAATAAGGATAAATTGTGCCCAAAAATTTTGTGCCCCAAGTTTCTAAAATCAAATATCCCAGAATTGATTAAAAAATTCAATTTCCTGAGTCAGATTTATTTCCTTTATGATGTCATCTTGAGCTAGAAGCTGGTATGACTTAATTTCGTTTTATAAATATGTGTAAATATTATTATTTTATTAGCAATACCAAATCTGGAAGATTTGATGTCATAAATGTTGTTATTGTATAAGATTATCATGTCAGTTTTCTGACTTTAATAATTTATTTTTTTTTGTTTTCTCATTTTACTTGCAATTTGATTTATTATTTTGAAATAAAGATGTTACTGGGATATTTGTCATTTTATTTTATTGAAATGGAATGGAATGGAAGTTGGAATAGGTTAATCTCACATGAAGTCAAGTTACTAGATGTGTATGGATTTAAAAGAGAATCTTGTGTATTATGAAAAGCTGTGGTCTTATTATGAAAAACAAGACATCATTTAAAGAAGGCTCTAGTGACATGAATTGTCAAGTTCAGTGCCCCACTGCACTACTGAGCTTTAGCTAAAGAAAGGCCAGGTTAGGTGTTTGCTAATTGTTGAAGGCCATACAGTTTCCTGTATTGTTGACATCATTGTCCTTTATTCTATAATAGATACTGTAGTTATCTGAATGGAAATCATAACACATATCTCTATTTATATATTTGTCTATCTTCCTTATTAAGTCCATCATTCTCACAACTATATAAAAAAAAAAGCTATTGCACCAAGAGTTCCTGGTGGTGAAGTTGATTGTTTTTTGGTTTTTTAACGCCACTTTTAAGCACCGCTTTTGGGCTATTTCGTGGCAGCCAGTTTTTATTGGTGGAGGAAGATGGAGTGACCATAGAAAACCACGACCTTCGATAGGAAAACTGACAATCCTAGTCAATTAAGATTGGAGTTGAGTGCACCCGCACGTGCGGGGTTCAAACTCACAACCTCAGTGTTGACTGGCTAGTGATTACAGTAATAACTACTTAGACCACTTGGCCACTGAGGCCCCTGGTGAAGTTGAAGTCATCCCTTCAAAAATTTTACAGATGCCATCAAAAGTTGGTTGACCATTATGGAATATCTGTTTCACAGCTGAGGACAAATATGTTATAATTGTCGTAACCACAATCCTGTCCTCTTTTCCTCGAATATGACCTACTGAATTAGACTTATCTCCGGGTTTGTACTGACATGAGCAAAATGAGGGATGCGACATGTGGAGCAGGATCTGTTTACACTTTAGGAGCAACTGAGATGGCCCCCAGTTTTTGGTGGGTTGCTCAGTCTTTATTTTCCTATGTTGTGTTTTGTAAACTTTTTTTGTCTTTTGGTAATTTTTATGGTTTTTTGCCATGACATTGTCTGTTTGTTTTCAACTTCTAAGTTTGTCTATCCCTTTGGTATCGTCAGCTTCTCTTGGAATGATGAATTTTGGTGAAATATTGAATGGAAGGTTTATATGAAAATTTTGAGGTCAAATTTAGTGCTGATTGAAAAAACTTGATGGTAGTTATGGCCCTACAAAATATACGTAATGGAAAAAATTGTATTTGAAGCAATCTTCAAGCCTGTGTTTTTATTGACATGTTTTTGACAAGTTCTATACAATTGGTTTATTTCGACAAAATAATATTAATAGAAATGTAAAAGTTTATATAGAGGTAATGGCCTATTAGGAGTGTAGGAATGCCCTTTACCGTCAGGCGTCAAAAGGTCATTTTCGGCTACCGTTAGCGTCGAATTGGTTAAAATTTTATCGTGATTCGTCAGAGGTTTTAAAAAATTAACCGTTACCGTTATTTTTGGAAATAAATCAGACGATTTTTTTTATCGTCATAAAGAAAATGTACATTTTATCGTCAAGCACCGTTACCGTCATTTGGCAAGATTTTTTACCGTTATTCGTCATGAAGGTACCCCCATTATGACCCTCTATTAGATGTTATAGATATATTTTCTAAAATTGAAATTTCAAAATAGGAAATGCAACATATATACTGTTGTATGGGATATTAATGCTACATTTTTTTTCTTTTGTCATTGAACTTTTAGGTCGGAAAATAAATGAAAAAAATCAGAACTGGAAAGCCAGTTGTTGGCCCTCTTACACTTCACATGAAAATCATGTTCCCATAAAATGTCTGGGTCATCTACTACTTGCTTTGTCTGTCCATGTGTCTTAAACAAATAGTTTCCAGATGATAACTTGAGTTTCCCTTGCTTGATTAGAATGAAACTTGATACATGGGGAAAGGAAAGAAGCCTTTTGATTTTGGGGTCAACTAAGTAAAGATCAAGGTCACTGTTACAAAAAAATAAAATTTGGGAAATGGTTTCCAGTTGGTAACTTGAGGTTACCTTACTTGATTGGAATAGAATTTAAACAGAGAGTACAGGGGAGAGGGAGAAGCGTGTTGTTTAAGGATTTATTGGTCAAAGGTCAATGTCACTGACTGTTACTATAAATGGACGGGGAAGAAGCCTTTTAGGATTTTAGGGTCAACAGGTAAAAGTTAAAATGTTACTGTAACTAAATATAGAATATTTTAGATTGGTTAACGAAAGGTATCCCATTTGGAGTTTTAACACATTTATATAGGTGAAAAATGTATTAAACATAGTGTAAATGTATTCAGCATACTAGGATTTCATTGTGTTAAATATTACATATATACTTATATAAGTTCAAACAGATAAGGAATGTGCATACTTATGTTAACCTCAGTATTCCACCCCAGTTTTGCAGGATGACCAGATGGAAGGAATTTCTGCTGGAGAGTCCTAAATTCATTCTTTTTTAACTAACCAATGCGGCCATTAATATTTTGGGAGCTCGTTATTTATTGTACAATAGGGCCTGTAAATGGCATGAAAATCGTTGCTGGTTATTTTATGTGAATAAATGGTTTCTGTTTTACGTCATGAGACAGCAACCCAACAACACAAAACGACGACTATACTGAGAGGTCAACATACGGTCTTCAAAAATAGGATATATCTATACAGTATGTCAAGCTCTTAATCGGCAGAGCAGTATTAAAATTAGTAAATGAATATTACAAACTAGGAGTACAGGAGGGTGTGGATCTTGGTTTCAAAATTGAGAATAATGAGCCAAAAATATAAAGAATAGAGAATAATGACGTGTTGAAATATAAAGAATAGAGAATAATGACGTGCTAAAATGTAAAGAATAGAGAATAATGGCGTGCTAAAAAACAAAATATGAAAACATGACCAAACAAATTGGAGAAAAAGTAGGGTGCTGAAATAAAAAGAATAGAAAAATATGACCTAGACATTATACGGTATACAAGAATGTCCCCTTCACCTCATTCCATTCCGGGCTCTCATAAAAATCCACTAGGTGACATACAAACACATGTGAACACTGACTTTTGATAGATCTGAGACATGGGTAGTACCATTTAATGTCTTTGGACAGATAAATGAACATGTGATTGTGTTAAAATATAGTACTTTTTTAGTTCTCAACTTTCACCCGTTTCAGAGTCTCGATTGCTGAGTATTCTAGTTCATCTACTGTATCACTAGCCTGTCAACACTGAGAAATTGATTCATAATTGACTAGGATTGCCAGTTTTCCTACCAGAGAGTAGTAGTTCCCTCCACACACGAGTTCGTCCATCACTACGGCGAAGATGGAATCTTGATTCGTCTGTCCATAAGACAGTTGTTCATTGCCTGTGTGACCATCTCTGACGCTGTTGTGTCCATCTAAAGCGATTTTGGCGTCGTACTGCTGTCAGCATGTTACCACGGAAAGGCCTCCGTGCCCTTAATCCACTGCTACGCAAACGGCGTCTTACCGTGTTTGCTCCAATTTGTCTCCTATGGACGCCGACAGTCTCCCGTGCTGTTTGGACAGCCGTACGGAACCGATCTCGCAGATGCTGAAGACGAATGTATCGGTCCTGTTGGGCAGTAGTTGCTCTCTGTCTTCCGGGACGTGGTCTATCATTCAAAGACCCAGTTTGGTTGAATCTTTGGATAAGTCTGGTAATTGTTGAGTCTGAACACTGCATTCTGCGTGCAATTTCACGACTTGAAATGCCTCCTTGCACCATGCCCCAAACTTCATGTCTCTGGTTGTCTGAAAGTCTTGGCATCTACGCCTTAGTTTATTGCAGTGGCTTACAAAAAAGGATGGGAAAGTTAAATTCTTAAGCGAGGCTTTCCAAAACACACAATGAAAAAATCACTCGTGCGAAAAATAGCGGTGCACTTGACTCACCCCCTTTTTCTGTAACCAAGCACGTAACTTTTTTTTCTAAAATCATTCAAGCGTAAAGTTGTCGATAGAAGTCTGACGATTCATTTTCAAACCGATATAGGTAATCATTTTAAAAAAAATATTTATATATTTTGAAAATATTTGAAATTTACAAGTGTTGCGTTTTCATTGGCACTCAGTATATAATAATATAACGGCGTAAAAGATAACCGTGAAACACACAAGTATAATATAGCGGTGTATAACCAGGTTGAATCCACCATTTTCTACATTAGAAAATGCCTGTACCAAGTCAGGAATATGACAGTTGTTATCCATTCGTTTGATGTGTTTGAGCTTTTGATTTTGCCATTTGATTAGGGACGTTCCTTTTTGAAATTTCCTCGGAGTTCAGTATTTTTATGATTTTACTTTTTATATAATAATATTTATTTAACGGTGTTAAAGATAACCGTGAAACATACAAGTATAATATAACGGTGTTAAAGATAACCGTGAAACACACAAGTATAATATAACGGTGTTAAAGATAACCGTGAAACACATAAGTATAATATAACGGTGTTAAAGATAGTCGTGAAACACATAAGTATAATATAACAGTGTTAAAGATAACCGTGAAACACACATGTGTAATATAACGGTGTTAAAGATAACCGTGAAACACACAATTATGATATAACAGTGTTAAAGATAACCGTGAAACACACAAGTATACACGCACAAACAAATAGGATCAACAACTGCATGTTCATGCACACACATGCAAGCTCACAGTCCTTAACCTGCTGATTTGAAACCCTGTCGTTCCATACTACTAGTATTATATCAGCGACTGTACTTCGTGCTACATTGTCTTTAAAACCTAGCATGGAATTCTGTTAGCTTTTCCAAAGGTATAGAAATGAATAAATAACAATGGACTAATTAAACACAAATTGTTCCATTTCCGTGCAGACCAAGCATGCAACGGCCCATTCCCGTTATTGGCCCATATACAAAAATATATTACGCACATCATTTTTAAAAAAACTATTGATTACGCACATTAATT